TGGGGGCGGGGGGGGGGGATGCTTTGGAAAGCGACTACTTGTCAACTGGTATAAATGGCAGGCATGACCATGACCAGGCAAGGTCTATGGCGTGTAGGGAGTGCTCGGACGCGGCACTCGGTACACGGCACTTGGATGCAAAATTGAGTGCCCGGGCCATGAATGCATCGTGATTCATGACGTCGACGTCGCGGCGTGGTTGTTGTTGTTGTTGTTGTTGTTGGTTGCTGCTGCTGCTGCTGCTGCTGTTCTTAGTATTATTATCGTCGTCGTCGTCGTCGTCGTTGTTGTTGTTGTTGTTGTTGTTTGAACTACAGCTGGAATGCTTGCCGGGGACCAGCCACAGGTGCAAGGCTCAAGGCTGTGCTTCGGGAGCATCGGACCTTGTACGTAACTAAGTACTTAAGTATCTAAGTACTTATCCTGTACGCTCTTGGCTACCAAGTACTTAAGTACTCCTCAAAGTAAATTACCACTCCTCCGTCCAAGTACCCAAGGTGCCCTCTCTGTGGCGTCGTGGTTCCACAAAGGCTGTATTCATGCTATTTCAGCCAGAGCGCAGGGCCGGTACTCCTGAATCGCAGCCTCAAATAAGAGGCCGACCTAACGACCACAACGACCACCCACATCTGCAGTCCGCCGCAGGGACAGATGATGACGTGCATGTCGAACCGTTGACGGCTTCGTTTGCCCTCGGCCGCCAAAGACGCTGGATCAGACGATAGCCGAGTCAGAGGGCGTAGTCAGTCGTGGGGCCGTGTACTTGGCGTCTTGCTGGTTCCATGTAGCGTAAAATTGCACAAATGCAACTTAAGTACTCCGTACAGAGTACTACGTAGTGCTATCAACTTATGTAAAATGATGACTGACTGTCCCAGTGAAAACCAGTTGGAGTCCGGATGGCGCCAGAGTACCCACCGGTTCCTGAATCCCGACCATGGCTTACTTAAGCATATTCATTGTAGCACTCGAAAAAGTAAAATAGTGTTCCATCTTATTGCTGTTAGGCCGGATGGCTGAGACCAACAAGTGCCGCACGTACCTGGACAGTCTCACGGCTGACCGCGACTATGCAGTCTCGCAACTCATCACTCCATACGTAAAATCATGGCTGTCGACTTGCAATCACCCGAGGTTGCACCCGCAGGCAGATGCATCATTTTCACAGCGAGGTGCAACTCGCCCGCTGCCCGTGCGTTTTCGAGCCACGTCAAGTCGTCAAGCAAATAGAGCAGGCTAACAAGCAATGCGAAACGGATTTACGTCAGGGCCTGAAAGCCTCGACTGCGTAGCATTGCCGTGTCTCAGCTTCACGACACTTGTCGCGTCGTCTCTTCCTCCTCCCCTTCCTCTTCTCACCTCGCTCCCCTCTCACCTTTGTTGACAAAACCCTCTTGTGCCACCTGGCGTCCATGGCACAATACTCTGTAAGAGCGACATATTACCGCGGGGGCCCATGATTCACCTCATCCCAGCATCCACTGGCTCTGGTTCTTTGACCACTCCGGCCAAGACCATCAATTCCCGATCCTCCTCTACTATGTCCGCCGTATTCTGAACCAGATCCCCGGACGATAATTTATCCTCCGCCTGAGCTCCTCGTCGCCTTTTGTGAATGCCCTTTTCATCCGTTCTCTTCGTCTTTTGTATTTTGGTTTGACCCCGGGATGATTTTGATTTCCGCCGCTCTCCTTTGTCTTTGACGGAGTACTGCTTCTTTGTTTCGGCCGTCTCGTCTCTTTCCCCCATCTCAGGATTCGGCCCTGCTTATCAGCTCTCATCTTTTTTTTTTTCAACTTGACAGGGAAGGCACCTCTACCCGCCCCTGGCCCTGGGACACGGAGTCGGGAGTCGGAAGGAAGGGCAGGAGCGAGCAAGAGAAGGCACGACCAGCGAAACTGGAGGAAGCCCAATCAGCGCCATTTTGCATCTTCCTCCCCTCTGACTTTTCTCGCCCAGCCCTCAGGTCTCATGGCTAATATCGAAGCTCACACACCCTTGGACGCAATCAGACTCTGACAGGCACAACAGACGAACCGTACCACGGCATTTGGCGGGACTCGAGACCAGAAGAAGCAACAAGCATCTATGGTTACACGCCGTGAGCTGCACCTGCATGTTCCCCGGCAATCTAACTGCACGACCTGCAGACGACACATGCCAATTACTACTCCGTACTACGGCACCCACCCACGTCGACAGGTCTCATCTCGCCCTGGATTGCAACCCCGTTGGCGCCCTGCGTGGTTGCGTTGGGCTTTGTCACCGTACAAAGCTGCCTCCGAATTTCGAACAGACTCCCGGTCTCATCACTCTGGCCGCATTTATTAGCCAGCCAGCTAATCAGCTTGCGCATCAGGGACGCCGGTCTGTCCCCGACTGTATTGTGACGACCGAGCGCGTTGTCCGTAACTTACCAAGTTCTCCGTACTGTCAGGCTTCGACGCCTCCCGTGCACTGACTGGTCCTGCCCCACCCCGTTGTTCCGCTGGTACGCCTCGAGGAGGCTGGCCGCCACAGAGCCGCCCCCAGCCGGAGCCAGCCCAGCCCGTCTCACAGGCTCTCCAGGGCTAGCCGCCGACGCCCATGCCTCCTGAGGCGTCAACGAACATGACCTCGGACGGACCGGTTGGTGGTGCCATAGCCCACTCTGCCCGTGTGCCCAGCTCCGGTACTTGCGAGGAGGAAAATGCTGTGGCCTCGCAAAACCACGAGCTCGAGAACCAGCAACCTGCCCACGCCAACCAGCAAGACGAAATCGAGGTCCTCGTGGGTTTGAGCTCTGCTGATGTCCCTGACAACGTCGCTGACCTCCCAGTACCACGTGGCCCGTTCCCTGCCACAGCCACAGCTGCGTCCATCCGCGCGGCCGAATCAAACACCACCCCCGTTTCCACTCTCTGCTGTCCGAAAAACCTCACCAGGCCTTGCTGCGAGGCTCAAGGCCCTCGGCATTGGGACCTCAAAACAGACCCCTTCAGTCCCAACACCGCAACACGACCACATAGGCCGTCTCGACGAACAACAACTCCGCCAACTGGACGAAAAACACCAGGCAAACTCCATCAGCTCCATTATTGCTAGGCGCGGCCGGCCTTGGAGAGGCGCCGGCGCCTCCACGTCGGGCCTGCTCAATACAACGACCGAGCCCATCGTTGCCTTCGACTCGCCTCAGTTGCCTGAGATCAGAACACCAGAACCTTTGGCCATGGATGCACAAAAGTATCGCTTGCCGGACCATACGAATGGCAATGGCACCAAGGTGACCCTCAGCACACGGCGCGAACACATCGAGCGTACGACTCGCCCTCCGTCTCCTCCAGAAGCTGGCCCTCCTCCTCCGCCGAAAGACACGCCGCCGCCTGTCACACCCCCCGCCATCGCGTCTCCGAACGACTATGTAGCTGAGCTAAATTCATACTTCACGCCCGGTCACAACCGACCCGGCTCTATATACACTTTATCTCGCGCTTCATTCGCGAACCAGCTGGCTCAGCTGACGTCCCTCCAACTGCCTGATGCCGAAACCTTGGCGGGCAAAGTATCATCCATTCGAACAGCTCACGTAGCTACCATGGCTCTCATCAACGCCTCCGAACAAATACGAAGTTGGATCTCCAAAGCACAAGAAGTCATTGGTGGTCTAGACAGCGAAGATGACGTTGAATGGGCCGCCGCTGGAGGTCGGGAGGGTCTCGAAGAGGTTGAGAACGCCATCGCTCGTTTCGAAGATTTAATCAGCGCATATATTGGTGCAATTGAGGAATTGCAAAAACGGAGTGATATTTCCCATGTTCCTTCAGATGACCTCAAAAAGGCAGTTGCACAAATGGAATTAATCATTGATGAGTGGGCCGACATCCGGGCTGCCCTGCAAAGTGTCCGGGTCCAAGTTGAGATTGCAATGGAATGGGAAGAGCTATGGAACAATGTCTTGGGAGATATTCAAGGCGAAATGGACGAACTGAGCAGATTGGTTTTCGAAATGGAGGAGCGTCGCCACAAGAGCATTGCTGCTGGTGCTAGCGACAACGTCGATATTGGCGACCTCGAAAATATCGTCGAGGACTCGCCTCCCCCTGGCACTCGCCTGCAGGCCCCTAGCCGCTTCAATCTGTCCTCAACGCCCATGAGCCCTGGCCCTCCTGGCACACCCAGTCTCTCGCAGGATGACTCTAGCCTTTTGGCCTTATTTGCCAGGATGCAACCTCTCCGAGCGTCTCTGGACTTTTTGCCCATGCGACTATCGGTATTTGAGGCCCGGGCTGAAAAGGCATTTCCAACAGCGTGCGAGGAGCTTGAGATGCGTCGCAGTGGCCTGGATGGTAGTTACAAGAAGCTGGAAAAGGATGCAGAGTCTCTACGAAAGGAGTTGGGTGAGGACCGTTGGGTTCTAGTCTTCCGCGGTGCTGGCCGTCAAGCGCAGAAGATGCACGAGTCCGTCCGGCGGTCTCTACTCAAACTCGGTGAAGCCATTGACACCGAGGCCCATTTACAAAGTCCACCCACGATGATGAAGAAAATCGAGAGTTACGAGGCAAAGAAGACACACTATGGCCCGGCCATCGAACGAATTCTGTCCATCATTGACAGAGGTGTCAAGGATCGCTTGACTGTCAACGGCGAGATCCTCCGTCTTCACACTGACATGCAGACTCGATGGGAGTCGCTCAAAGGCCAGATGGAAGAAATGGATGCAATTGTTGATGACGTCCAGGTAGATAGGAAAAGTCAACCATTACGGGACTCTGTGTCGAGCATGCTCTCCATCGACAGGTCGACTGTTGGGAGCGGACGCGACACACCAGGAAGCTCTCCGCCATCGTCAGTCATTATGACTTCTCTTGGCCTCGATCCACAAACGCCTCTGACAAAGGGCAAAGGACGTTCCGCAGCCCTCAATAAGATTCCTCAGTCAACTGGCCGAAGATACTCGTCTTTGCCCGCTCCCTCATCCAACCTGAGCAGAAGAAATGGCCCCAGGCTGTCAACAATTGCGAGTTCCTCTTCTGCTACCCCTGCCAACAATGCCAGAACTCCTGGGCGTCCAGGGGCTGCTGGCGGCCCAAGGCCGCCTTGGAACGGTTCCACCAATACGTCGGACCTTGATACTGGACATCATTTTGAGCCACTCAGCCTGACCATACCGAGTCCTTTTACAAGAACGACGCCCAACAGCCAGCGATCAGTATCCGCCCTCACGCCCTCGTCGGCATCAAAACTCCCAACTCTCAGGGGACCCTTTTCCAGATCCTTTTCCGAATCCCCCAAAGTGGACGACACTCCATCCAGAGGCGGTCGTTCTCGGCTATCGTTCCGTGAGCGACTCACGTCACCTGGGCCTTACTCTCAGCAGACTCTATCCAGGCCGCGATTGACCTCAAAAAGCTCCATGTCTGCCCTGTCTTCGCATCGCCGAGCCTCAATGCAGCCCACCGGCTCCGATGGTGCTATGGCACAAGACCAGTTGTCCCGTCCAGCAAGCTCGCTGGCTTCTAGCTATCGACGAACGAGCTTTTTGCCACACCTCAAACGGGGTGAAGGGAGCACAGGTCGAAGTAGTCCTCAGCTTTCCGCTGCTAGCCGCTTCTTTAATAAGAACGTTACTGTAGATCCTAAAGATTCAAGACCACGTTGGCGTCACTAATTAAGAGGAGGGACGGCATGGAATCGAACCCCCTTTATTGCCAAGGGGTTTTCTGTGGGCGTCGATATTCGTTCGCATCTTCGCATACATACACTTGAGCCAGCAGCATACTCTTGGACTGTATCGGGGCCTGGAACACTGAACCCGGTTGGCCCGCATCATGGTCACGCACGCATGTGTCTGCTCAAAATCCGCTGAAGCATTATGGCGCTGCGATCGATCCCAAAAGGAACATGAACCAACGAGTGAGCGGAGAATGTGTCTTTGAGAAACATTCAAGCAACCGACACTGTCTCGTCACACTTACCTGCTGCATTTTTGCAATCACGCCTTCTCCGATATTTACATCGATATCTAAGCAAGCGTGCCTTGACTTGCGACTCTCTCCATTCATTGATGTAGGCGGTATTCTTATTATCTGCCTTGCTTTCCTACTGTCAACTAGTTCATTTTGATCCATTCCAGAACATTGCATACTTGACCCAAGGCCTTGCTTGCATTTGCTACTCATATTTTTGTACTGTACCCGAGTTAGCTGTGCTACGACGACGAGATCAATTTTGCAGGCAAAGGAATCACATGACGGCATGACGCGCAGTTCGATGGAGTTTTCGTGGTGAAGCGACATGGGATCTTTTATACCCAATTCTCGTTCCCTCTTTGGTCGGCTCGTGCATGTTGCATTCGAGATGGATCGGTTCTTTCTGTCAAGGGGATCATGCTGGATAATACATAAAACATTGAATTTCGAAAATGCCACGTTTTCTTTCTGGTGCAATGTGCTCGTTCGTTCATCCATTCAATGAATTTGTGATGCCGAGGATATTTATTATCTTTGCAACTACCCAGTAGTTAATATTACAAGGGCCAAATAATCCTTGTGCAAGATGTTTATTCGATTATTCATTCCCATGTACATTCGGCCAAACACCACGGCGTGTGGCCCAAGTAAAAAAAACGACGCCGCCGCATCCCATACAACAAAGCCCGTGATAATTGTGCGCCAGATTCGACATTTACGTCATGACGGCATGGATCTCACATATTGTATTCGTCAGTTCTGGCTCCGCTAAAGCATACAAGAGGGTCTGGCTAGACTGGCATCAAGCCAATTGTCCCGCCACTCTTCTTGACGATCTTCCCGTCGCGTTTCGCGGCACCAGACCCCGTTACTGACCGCGTGGTTGAAGAGCCGCTCGCCTTTCGACCTCCGAAACTGTTCCCCTTGCGCTTGGGGACACCGCCGCCCGACGCTTTCCGAGGCCACTTCTTGCCGCCAGAGAACCTCCTGCCCCCGGAGTTTCCTCTCGAGTACGACGACTTCGGCCTCGGTTGGACATGTGGCTGGCTGCTCAGGCCCTGGAGTCTGCTGTGGAAGGCCTCCACCTCGGGTCGCGGCTTGGGCTGGAAGTAGTGCGAGTCGGCGTCTTCTTCGGCCTGGTCGAGATCCTCGTGCAGCTCAAGGTCTGAGCTTATCAAATCCACCACGTCTTGGTCATCGTGTTCGGGCGTGTGGGCGCCCCTGATGTCCTGGTACATGTCGTGATGCCGTTCGAGTATGGGGAGCAGCTTCGGGCCGTGCTCCCAGACCTTGTCTGCGTCGATGCCGGGAATGCGGCTCATTCTTTCGAGGGAAAGTGTCCAGTGCATGGCCATTTCTCGAAAGTCTCGTTCCGTGAATAGGGGCCGCCTGAGTTCCTTCTTGTTGCGGATGTGTTCTTCGACCTTTCGGGCTTCCCTCACGAACGCGCCGACCAAATCTTGATGAATCTCTGGTAGGTCCTCCACACGCTTGCTGGAACTGATGGGCGGCCCTGAGGGTGCAGCTTTCTTCTTTCTCGTGGCTTTGGCAGGTGGCCTGGCCGGGCGGTGCTTAGGGAGAGGCTCGAAAGCTTGCTCTTCTTCGTCGGCTTTTGCTTCGCCGTCGTCGTCGTCCTGCATCTCGTCATCCGACACGACGAATCCGTCGTTGACATACCCATGTGACGTAGTTGGGAGGTTCTCCTCATCCTCGCTTTCCTCCGCCCTTGTCCTCCTCTTTCGTCTCTCCGCTGGTGAGGATACATACGTCGACTGCATTGTCAGCGTGGCTTGTTGCTTTCCATTCTTCTTATTCGTCTTTTTCGCCGCGGGCTTGGTCCTAGCTTGTCTTTCCTCCTCTACTTGGATCGTGAGCATCAGCTTACGCTGACCGGTGAGGAACAGACGGGCGGTAGGTCCCATTTCGAGATATTGAATAGCCACGCCGTAATTCCCAACCACGTTGTTTTCACGAAACGCTTTCTCGGCCGACAATCGATCAATTACCCGAACAACTTCGTGCTTCTTCAAACCTTTGGCCATGCCATAATGTCTGTTAGAAAGCTGCTGCTCGTGGTTGGGGTACTTCTTGCCAAGCAGGATGTCTGCACATTGGTTAGCTGTAAGACGCCGCTGAGCCTGAACAACTCGAATCGCAGCAATAGCATATGTTGAAAAGTCTTGTTGTTCAAAGACTAGTCCAGCCTGGCAGTTGTCGCAAGACTTTTGACATTGGCTTGGTACAAAGTCTTCCCCAAAATAGCGCAACACCTCAGTACGCCGACAATCTGATCTGTTGTCACAAAAAGCAGTGACACGGTTGAGCATAACCATCTGCCGTTCCTTTTGCTCATCGTTGCCATCTCCGTCTGTAATCAGTCTTTTCAGGACCCTTATATCCGCTTTTCCATAAAACAGAATGCAGTCGGAGGGCTTGCCATCTCTGCCGGCTCGACCCGTTTCTTGATAGTATCCCTCCAAGCTCTTGGGCAGGCCGTGGTGCATGACGAATCTGACATCAGGTTTGTCTATCCCCATGCCGAAAGCGATTGTTGCAACGACAACTTTGATATCGCCCTTCTGCCATGACGTTTGAACCTCAACCTTCTCTTCAATGGCAATAGCTGCATGGTAGTGACGGGCTGCAATGCCTTGGTTGGCAAGCTTTTGTGCAACGTCTTCAGCTTGTTTTCTTGAAATTGTGTACACAATGCCTGTGACGTTGCGGTATTTCGTGTTTATCAGTGACGCAATGCTATCAATAGCGGTCGAGTTGGATGTCTTTGTCCGGACTTCGTAGTACAAATTCGGGCGATTGAAACTTTGCGAGAACTCTTGGCAATTTGCCATGTTCAGGTTGTGTTTGATATCCACGATGACATTTTGTGTGGCCGTAGCGGTCAGAGCCATAATGGGAACTTCAGGAAACTTCATGCGGACCTGACCGATGGCTTTGTAGTCTGGTCTGAAGTCATGGCCCCATTGACTGACGCAATGGGCTTCGTCGATTACAAGTCGTGCGAATTTGCCTCTTTCATACAGCGTTTGCATCGCGTTGTGAAAAGCAGGATTCACGCTCACCATCTCGGGGGTAACATAGAGCAGCTCGATAAAGTGTTCTGGACTCGGCTCTTTAAAGACACTCATGATTTGTCGTTTGTATTCTGCTGAGCATCCCCCATTGAACGCTACAGCCTGAATACCGAGGGCCTTCATGTGGTCGACTTGGTCTTGCATAAGACTCAACAATGGGGACACGACAATGGTTACACCTCGCGTCTTTCCACTTCTGACAACAGCCGGCAGCTGGTAGCACAGTGACTTGCCGCCGCCTGTAGGCATCAGCACAAAGGCATCTTTACCCCCCAAAGTGGCATTGATTGCTTCCAACTGGTTCTGCCGGAATCCTTTCATTCTGAACCGGTCCTTGAGCATTCTCTGGACCTCGGGGGACCACGGGTACTTCATCAGCTCTGGTGGCATCCTGAGCTCTGGTAATACCGGTCCAGATGGCCGCTTTGTTGGTCCTCTCGATTTGGGAGGAGGCATTGTGTTTCCAGAGGTTTCCGAGAAGACGCGGCGAGAACTTGAGGTGTCAGATACCAGAGATTGACGAGTCTCATAGTCCTCTGCAAAAGCCAGTATATCATCATCGTCACTGAAGTCACTGAAGTTATCCTGCATCCGGCTCGAAGCAGAGGCGTGCGATGTCTTGGAAGGCGTACTTCTACCTCTTGTCGTATGGGCCGGTTGCAAATCAGCTTCATCAAACTCTGGGAACACGTCGTCTTCCAAGTCCTCGAAAGGAGTCGGTGCAATGCGGACGCGTCGAGTCCTGGTATCTACTGCTGAGGGTAGCGTCTCTCTCGGGAACGGCTCCCGTGTCAAATTCTCGTCGTCCTTTGATACCAAAGCCCTGTCGGAACTGCCCAGCATTGACTGCGTTGCTAGTCGACGTGATCGTGGCTGGGAGGTGGTCGGCAGCTGAGTCTGGTGGACGACTTGCGTGGACGTGGCAGCATGTGCGGGCGAGTCTCCTGAGCCGCGAGACGTGTCGACCATGCCTGTGCCCGACGGTTGCGTGCCAAGTACTACCGTATTCGGCAGTGCCAGCATCGGCAAGTTGGTTTCATCGAATCCAGCTTGGATTACCAGTTTTGCAAGTCCTTCCTCTTGGTTCTGAACCATGTCCGTTAGTGCGTCAAGTCGAGTCTCGTCATCGTCCGTATTATTGCATTCAGCGTATGACTGCGCCACTTGTTCTGCAAGAGCTGCTCTTTCTGTGCAAATTTCCTGATATGGCTGCATCGAGTCACCCAGTTCCTGAACAGCTTTCTGTTGCCTCAAGAGTCGTTCTTTTTGAGTTTTAATTTGGCTGCGTCTCGCTTTTGGCCATCTCTCGTTGATTGCTTGCACAAAATCACAACCATTACGCTGGATGGCTTCAACAATAGCTTCACGTCTTTCAGTCAGAGCTTCCGGATTTGTGCATATATACTCCAGCACCTTCGGTACCTGGTCGAGAGGGATGCTCTTCTCAGGCGTAAAATCCAGAGCATCAATCCTTGAGTCATCTGTGCTGAGGCTTGAGGCAACTCCCATGCAGTCTGATTTGGTCTGGTCATGGCCTCGGGCAGAAGGCGAGTTCAAGAGGTTCCAGGACATGCTTTCTTGACTCCTAGCGATTACGTTTTTTGATAAATTTGCGACGCCAGTTGAGTTTGGTTCCTTGATAACGGTGGACGTGGGATGCGAGGGTGGTGTGAGGAATTCCTCATCTGAATCCGGAATACAGTCATCGGTTTGCATGGCTTCGGTTGATATTCCATACAGCTTGAGTTTTTCCGGGGACAGAATGCCTTCGTAGGGGTTGACTTTCCTCTTCTTCGTGCTGTCATGTTGCTGCGACGAGGAAGATTTCTTGGTCGGCGATTTCGGTAGCGAAAGCTGGTTCCGCCGGTCGGATGCATGCCGAGAGGGCGAGGACAGACCGGCCATCATCTCATTGAGAGAATCACTCCGAAGGCGTCCCAGCGCTTCCTCTGATGTTTCCTTCACATTTCGTTTACGACGCGATTTTGTGGTGCTTGTCTGGCCAGCACGGCGGATAGTTGACCGACTCCCAGGAGTTGAGGCAGGTGGCTCGGTGCCAAGGATGTCGTACACATCAGGGAAGCTCTCGTCATGCGCCTCATCAGCTTTGCTCAAGCCGTTGCTCTTCCGTTTCTTACTGCTACGCTGCACCGGCGACCACAACGCAGTAGCAGTATCCCATACTTGAACGTCATCACTCTTGTCCGTAAGTGCGCTTACGTTAGTAAGGTCCTTTGTGAGATCCATGCACTCGAGGTCATCTGCGTCGAAATCGGTGAGGTCTAGACTCGATTTTGGCGATGTCACTAATCGAGAGCTACTTGGTTTAGCAGGCGAGTGCTTCCGCCTGCTCTTCGGTGTGTTTGAGACTACCAACTTGTTAGCATAGCAGACTTGGAGGTTAGAACTGGCTTGACTTGCCGGCATCATTTCCAGTAGGCACCTGCCGAGGTCTCGGCGTCGAGTCACCGGTGGCAGCCGGAGTGGGAGGATGTTGCTGTGATCTAGAAAGAAGAGCAGGCCTCTTGGACTTCGTAGTTGAGGTCAATCGGACCATGCTGTCGTCCGCCTCTGTTGCTTGTGGTCTATCCACGAAGTCCTCCCCCCACCCGATCAAATTGATAGCATTATTTGACGCGTGGGCTCGGGAACGTGGATTTGTCTGTGAGCCTATCGAGGAAGATGATCGAAGCTGAGATCCCGTCCCAGTTTGGACGGAAGATGACTCCGAGGTGTTGAACGGAGAGGAGTCGCCTGTAGAGGGAAACGTTCGCCGTGGTGGTTTTGATAACGCGACGTTGTTTAGGAGCCAGGAGAGTTGGTCGGCGAGGTTATTTCGAGTCATGAAGACCGCAAATTACTGCCCGGCTTGTGAGGAGAAGCAACGGCCGCCTACATTTGAGGACTGGAAGAACAATTGGTTCGTAACGACGCAAAACGGGGGTCTATCGTCATCACGCTCTGGTGGTTCGTCTCATCACAATACTTCACCTAACTACTAGCTCGACGACCGTGAACCAGCGCGTACCGCGTCGCGTTAGTCAGCAGGAGCGAGATCACGTGACCTGTTGGTGAGCTCCGCATATCTGCCTCAACCGACTTCCGCCGTTAGCGACGCGCTTCGGCACTTGCTGGGGTTCCTCTTTTGGCCATGTGACTCATGTCGTATCAGTGTAGCGGAGAGCAGGAAGCTACAGGGCTCGCTGGACGAGGCAGTGAAAAATATTCCGTAGCCTCCCGCTAATAACCATTCCCTTGTCATCGTCGTATCATAGCTTAATTTTGAGGGATGATCTCAATATAAGTTTAGTAGGTATGCATATCCCAACATTTAGGTCGGAAATGGCTGCCGTGCGGCTGTCGGCGGTATCGGTGGCATCGGTGGATCCACGGTTCTCCGGCGGCCAGCCCGCCGTCCTATCCCCAGCCGGACGGGTCTCACCCGGTCCGGACTGAGTCGTGTTGGATCCATGATTGGCTGGGTCCCACCGATTTGTTGCCGTTTTGCATATCGCAGTTCCCGACTTCTTGTCGACCGAGAAGTATTGTACACGATGCAATTGGGGGAATTCTTCCATGTGCGACCCTGTACACTACCAGTGGGGATGTCTTGGTCATCATGTGGCCCCGGGTTGAATTCTACACTGCTCAAAAAAGTGACCATCGTGAGACAAGTCTTTCCGGTCTAAAGGCCCCCGGTAGCCGCCGGCCCACCAAGTCGTCGCCACTCAAGAGGATCAAGGAAGGAAAAATGGGGATGGAGCATCGGGCCGCAATTTGTTGTCCCGGCCATTCGGCTGTCGGCCCCTAACCGCAAGTCACGACGGCCTCACTTGGGTACAAGTTTTCTTGCCCCTGGGCCGAAAGATTTTCAAAAAGTGCCGACTGCCACTCCGACCTTGCCTGTATCATCCCTTTCTTTGGTCCCCAAGCATCCGCTTCACTGTTATACTCTTCCATAGGTGATGACAGCAGAGCACCCCATGCTTTACTGAGAACAATGACTTCTGTCGAGAAGCCTACAACGCCGACGGAGGGCGCACCGCGCATCGTGATCATGGCGGACCATGAGAGCGATGGTCCCCCGCCGGAAGCGGAGGGAGACAAATCAGTTTGCGCTTACATGTGCCAAGATATTCGAGGTTCTATATTTACAGAACTTCAGCTCGTCATTCTGACATTTTGCACCGGAATGCAAGGTAAGACATTGCTATTGAATGTCGGCGCGTCCTTACGGGCTGGAAGAGTCGTTAATACGATTTCGTTGATATAGATGCCACGACGTTCCCCGACTACCACTGCTTTGCGTCCAACCAGACGGGCAATACCGTCTTCCTGTGCTTGGCACTCATCCTCCCCCAATTGAACGGCGAAACGTTCTTCACGCCCAACATTGGCATGGCCCTCGGCCTCTTCTTGGGAGCCGGCTGGCTTACAGGCCAGCTCAGTCACATTATCGGACCCCGGAAAAGGTGGTGGCTCATACTATGTAATCTTGTCCAGTCGAGCCTCGTCCTTGGCGCAGCGGCCATCCAATATCAATATGGAGTCAAGTCACAAGGATCCCAGGCATTGGTTGTCATCGGGTTACTAGCCTTTGCCGCCGGAAGCCAAGTTGTCCAGTCCAGAAGTCTATCGATGACGGAAATCAGCACTGCAATGGCGACTGCAGCGTGGGTTGATCTCATGATTGACCAGAAGCTTTTTGTATTGAAGAACCGGCCTCGCACTCGCCGTATAGCCTTCCTCTTGGCCCTCGTCCTGGGCACGCTCGTCGGAGCTGCGATTTACAGGGAAGTAGGATCCGCTACTGCCATTGTGGTTTCGGGAGCTGGCAAGCTACTAGTGACATTTCTTTACCTTTTCTCTCCTGCCGAAAAGCCTCAGAAGGAGGAGAAGTCCCCTGCATAGACTGTAACGAGGGAATGGAATTGGGAATACGTGTGGGAAGTTTAGCATGTTCATGAGGATTGTGCTCTCTTGAGTTGGGAGTTTCATTTCATAGCTTGGCGAGCGCGGCGAGCGTGGCGACAGGATATACTTCTCATTTAGACCAAAAGTATGATAGAACTCTGAATGAGTTTCCGAGACAGTACAAGGACAATATTAATGGTGGAACTATCCAAGAATTGTGTCCCGTCCCGTGATTCAGGAAATGAGGGATACGCCACGAAGAAGTATTGAGACGTTATCGCTGACAATGCTGTGACCAGATTCTAGTGCTGAGTGGAAAGCGACGCAGCGACATTCGGTCGAAATCTGACTTTGAAAAACGAGGCAGCCGACTGGCTTTCAAAGGAGGATGTCAGCAACTACAATACCTGTACAGTTCCGTATGGAGAAAAGTTCAACTTTAAGAGAATCGAGAAGCTATGTTTTACCAGAGATCTGATGTCGAACGCAGAGTGGAACCAGCCAAAAGAGCGTGGAGTGTATCTGCATCATCACTCTGCATTGTTTGGACGTGTAGAGGATGTCGTTGAGGATTGCTGCTGTTCCTGCCCCAAAGCGGTGACACCTGAAGAGATCGAGTGGCCGAGAAGGAGGCTCAAATATATCTCTCAGGCAAAGTTTTCATTCCTTATTGACGATCCAGGTCGTCAGCAAATTGGGTCTTTCAACCCACTTACAGAACAAGATTGGACGGATATGGCACATGTCGGAAACACGGTTCGCCTGTGTCAGTCAATCGTTGACGGCAATAGCGACGACGTGCTCAACCGGCTTTCCTAGGAAGGGGCTGACCCGAACAAGCGTGACCACACTGCCTGAACACGAACACCATCGCATTCCCGCTGTGAATCTGTGATGACTTTGACTGCTGCTATTGTGAAGTGTCTGGCTGATCACCGTACGCGCCTCACGGCTCGTCTAGCCGATGATAAGAACCGCCCAGCATTTGGCTGCTGCTCGTGGAAATGCAGAGATGATCAAGGTTTTTATGGCAAAGAGCATCGAAAACGAGGAAGCTGAAGAGGAGCGACGAGCCAGGCGCCGCAACATGGCTCGGAGATAAGGTGGATGGATAGAGCCAAGACATTTCAAGACACAACAAGCAAAGGACTTGACGGAGAAGAAGATGTAGAGGAGGGATACAATTCAGGTGAGGAATCAGACGATGAGCTCGTTGATGACGAAATGACCAATTTTCGACGCGCAGTCCCTTGCCACTAGCCCCTTTATCAATGTTTCGAAGAATAAAGATGGTGAAAGCAAGATTGGTCCAATCTCAGAAGTGTCTGAAGACGATCCGGATTATTACCAGATTGATGTGCTTGTTTGGGATAAGCCTTGCTCGCCATTACGTATTGCCATTGTCGAAGGCCACGAGGAGACAGTCGAGCTGTTATGCGATGCAAGTTGATGGGAAATCTCAGAGCGCCGCCCGCTTTCCTCCAACTTGTTAACGTTCGCTCTAGGACCCCGTCTTATAGAACGACAAGATTGGTGTGAAAAAAGGCAATCAATAACATCATGTTTGGTGGCTACAGCTGGATTCCAGAGACCGCCTCGTCATCCCATGGCGCTGTTCACGATGGTGATCTAGATCTGTTTCTCAAGCTTCGGAACGCAGGAGCTGTTCCCGAGATTGGATTTGGATACTTGGCTGAAAGCTGCCAAGGTTGCGCCAAAATTGGTCCAGAAATCTCAACAGGACTCACAAGCGATCTTACGAACCTGCATTGTGCGCTGCTATTCAGTGTGGGAATATCGACGGAGCAAAGAAGCTATTGGAAAATGGAGCCAACCTTCAACTCTTCGTCCTCTCTTGTTTTGCTCCGGCCATTGTGATGTTGCAAAGGCAATTGTAGAAGTTGTGAAAGCTCGCTGGTCCCGTGAGAACAACGATGAGGTCCGTTATAGGATCAAGCAAGATCAGCAAGGCGACGAGGATGGCTATTACAGCGACGGCGAAACTGAGGGATCAGAGGGCGAGCCACAGCTTGAATCCTGGGTTGTTGGCAAGGACTTCACTATTGAGGATGTTGGCCACATTTCCATGCAGGTCAAGTCGCACGTTACTCCAGTGCGGCATCTCTGTGATAACGTGTCGACATTCGGTGTGAAGGAGGGTAAAGCTTCGAAAACTGGGTGGCGTTACCGCACACTCTTCCGGCATGTGGTGGAATTGAAGTGCCATCAGATTGAAATCACTGGAGAACGGAAAGATGCATGTCATGGTGGAAAGCGAAATGTAAAGAGTGATTTCGCCACGAGGGAGTTGGCAGCGTTGCCAGAAGAGGAAAAAGAGGAAGAGGCTGACGAGAAGGACGAGGATACCGACGGTGAGCAGTGGTCTGACACGGGACGATGAATGGAAGGCAGGGCCTGGCTCAATAATAAGTTTCCTTGAAATACAATGAAAGGCCCTTATCTCTCAAGTCTCTGTTACCCTTGCGACTACTTTCACCATGCATGGCTATTAACGATGTGTTTTTTTTTGCGCAAGGAGAAGTTCCATGACGAGATCCATCATGACAAGAACCCAGTTTCCTCAACTCCAAAGCGTCAAGTCAAGTCCGTAAATCCAAAATCAGGCCCGTTGGATATTCGCATACACCCCCTGGGAAAGAACCCTCCAACTCCTCACGTCACGTACGGCTCACGCCACGTAAACAGCGGCCTTGGGAGCTCCATCTCCCCAAAGGCCAACCACAGCCATGGCAAATCCCAGCGCAGCCAGACCAGTACGGGCAAAGTAGCCCCTCGCAAGCCTGTCAACCTCGACTCGCACTTCCTCCCCATTGATATCCTCAATGTCTTCCTCGCTGGCGGGTTCACTGTGGACGTCGCCCAGGACTTCATAGCTGGCTTCCATCCTAGCGCGCGGGGATGACTTCCGGGACTGCTGCGGCTGGGCGGGACGGGAGGCAGGGTGAGGGAGAAGACGCGGGACAACAGTCGATACGAGGGCGAGGACGGATGTATACACGAGGTAGGGGTGGCGAGCGCGGCGAGGAGACAGGACGAAGGCGAGGAAGAGGGGCGCCGACGCGAGCGACGTAAGTGTCAGCAGCGGCGTCTGCAGACTCGCGGTGAGCGAGGCGATGGCGTGCGAGGCGGATGCGGATGAGGGGACGCGCAGGAGCGCCGGGAGCGCGATGTTGGAGACGGTGTATGATACGCCCTGTGACGATGTGTTAGCCATAGGGATCCGACAAGAAAGGCTGGCTGTAAGCCGAGGCATGTGCGTCATCGAAGGCCGACGCGGCGATGGCTGAGTATGCCGGCCAAAGGTCCCAGATCTCTCTCCGCCAGACATCCAGAGGCAGTGGCATCCTCCATCTGCGCCTGCAGCACGCTCACCGCCGGTGCGAAGATTCGGGGCACAAGCACAAGCACAAGCACAGCAACAACGGGCCGACGCACCGTCAGCAACCCCAACGAAAAGGTGCCCACAAACTTGAGGGCCGAAACGGCCTTTGCGCCAGCGCAAACCATGATTCTCGTGTTATGTCTATGTCGGTCGGTCGAGGTGTCCCGATCGGTACAGTGGCAGCAACAAAATCGAAGCAACCGAGGCGGAATTGGTGATGCGTCGGGGCGGCCACGAGGGTATTTGTTGGAGACGGGAATGAGGGAGGAGTTGGACTGACGAGGCCACCAGATGACGGCTGCCGCTGCACAGGCCGAGCTTCCGCACGGTGAGGTGACAGGTGATGGGTGACGGCACCGAGGTTGGCTTTGAGCTCTGATTGGCCATCTGTGATTCAGCGAGGTGTCTCCACTTTTCCACGGCCGACCCCCACTCTAGACCTCTAACAAAGTCTGGTCCGTGTTTTTTTTTTCTCTCTCCCATCTAAAATTACCGTCACTTGTCGCTTGTTTCCTTTCATCTTGCCAACGACCGCATCCAGAATCGGTAAGCAATGCACATTCCCTGCCACGCGGAGCCAAAATTCCCAGCATATTCCAAACAAATCTCCATGATGAATTGTTTGTTTTCAAACCCTCCACAATAATAGGAAGAGCCGTCTGAGACACCCCTCGGGTATGGAAAGCCTTCGCTTTGTTTTTCCATGAAGGCCGGACAACCCCTTGGCTGTAACACCAACCTGAGTTTCTCTGCCGACGAGTCTGATCCCGCTGCTACTTTCAAACCAGCGTCTCTGTCTTGTTCACCGTCACGTGGCTTGGCCAGCGCCGCTGGGGTGGTGAGGATCCTCGTTGTCGGGCAGGTTGGTGCGGCGGGGGGAGTGGTGCTTATACGATGGGTTTCTGATGAGATTTTGTTTTTCTTTCCCAAGTTTGGCTTTTTTTTCGAGGTTTTTTTTGGGGGGGAGGGGAGGCCGGCTTGCCAGGAAGAATTGAGGACATCGAATGCTAACATGAGTTTGAAAGGGGCCATACCACGACATCTCGAGCCCGCTGTGTTCAGATTCGAAAGCTAATAGTTATATTACGTTGCACTGGGCAACTCATGCAGTCGTCATATGGCCCGGTAGAAATACAAGTTTCCACTTTGCCTCGTCTCTGATGCACCAAACCGTGTCGTTGCTGTATTTGCTGCCAAGATTGCATGCGTTTCCACCTCATGCCTCACTGTCACTGTCAATTACTCGTCGTCCGCCGCGGGCGGGATGTTTCGTAGTCGGGTACTCAAGGTCCCAATCTGATGCTGGGTCCTTTGGATTGACCTTGTCGGATACTTTTCTCCCTACTAGCGCCGTCAAATCGGGCATGTCATCGCTCTCCTGTGTCGCTGAGAAGCGTGTAGGAACATAGAACGGCTTCTCTGATTCCGTCTTGGGCGTGCTTTGGGCTGACGCTGTTGTTGGCGACGTAGCCTGCGAGTCGACCATGCTCGATGTCGCTTGATTGTCTGTCACAACAAAGCCCAAGAGGTCTGTTCCATCATCCGATCCGCTACTCTCCACCTGATCACTGTCCCGTTCACAATCGTCGCCGAGCTCATAGCTACTAATGCCGCCTCTTTGTTTCGTTGTTCCCTTCCGACCACCCTTGGACGTCTTTGTCCTCTTGCTTTCTCTGCCAGGAATTCTATTATTTCCATTATCTTCTGATCCTGATGGTTCAGTGACGGACGTTGTTGAAATCCTTCTTTTCTTGCGTCTTGGCGGCTGTGGTCCCTCGGCATCTACTCTCACAGAGCGCCGACTAGTCGACTGCTTCCGTGTTTCTAAATCAGGCATCTCGTCGCCTTCTGACTCTCCGTCAGTTTGAACAAAAGGCCTCACGGGTATCTCTCTGAAACGGCTAGTGTCCGTCGAACGACATTGTCTGATCAGACTCTCGGGTTCCGCACCCATTTTTGCCAACAACTTAACAAAGCGTCGAGTGCAAGTGCCGTGTTTCAGATTTGCCACTGGCCGCAGCTGTCTTTGAAGAATGGGAAATGCAGTCATACTAGGCATGTCTGTTTCCTCAACCACACTATGATTGAAAGGTAGGTCGCGGTAGGACCTGTCGAGCTCCTCAAGGTCGTCTTCGGTCAGAACCACACTACTCAAATCTGGAATGCTCTCGAGATCGTCTAACTCGGGGTTCCGCTGGATTTCGGATCGTTCTGGTTTTGAGCCATCTTTCATATAGTAGGACAGTTTTTGAAATCCAGTCTCTACCCCATCCGGCATGTGAAACTTTTTGAGGGGCTTCTTCTTTCCGGCGGCAGGGCGACGTTTCTTTGGCTCTGGTAGAGATTGGTTCTGCGTATTTTCAATCGGTATCTCGACAAACTTCTTCTCCACCTCGGGTCGAATTTCTCGCGGAACGATTCTTGTTGACAGGTCAAATCGAAAGTTGAATCTGCTTCCTTCGCATATGAGCTTCTGCATCTTCTCGTAGCTATCTTTGGATTTGGCAAATTGATCCTCTTCTTTCCCTCTCATAAGCAACAGAACAATGTTCCCTGCCCTCTTTCGTCCAGTTCGACCCATTCTCTGCAACATCCGAACTGGCGAAGCGGACGAGTCGTAGCAGACAATAAGATCGACTTGGCCAATGTCCAGTCCTTCTTCACCGATAGAGGTGGCCACTAGCACATTGAACTCGCCCTTCCGAAACCTTTCGATGGTCTGGATTTGTTGCGCTTGTTTCATTCCTTCTCCTCTTTTCCCGTCTGCTTGTCCCACAAAGACGCTAGCTTTGAGAAGCGGCTGGTGCTTATTCAGTTCGCGCACAATATCCTCTGCTGAATCACGATACTCGCTGAACACGATCACGCGGGTCGTCGAACCCTCTCCTTGGTCCATGAAGTGGTTCAGAACGCAGTCTGCTAGTGCGGCAAGTTTGGGGTGGCCCACGAAGCCTTCCGTTTTCAGCCACCGCGAGATGTGGTCCATCATTTTCTGAAAACTGGGGTGTTCGATAAGCTGCCGTTTGTATTTCGATCCTTTTTCGCCCTTGCCTTCCTGCTCGCTTCTAAAGTCTGCCATATTGTCGTAAAAGGGCCTGATCCCGTGGAAATTAAGCAATTTTATCGAATGTGCCAGACTGGTCAGCACACCAAAGATTGCCCTCATCATGAACTGAACGCCCTGGTTCGCATGCCGGCCGCGGGTTGCGAACCATTCTTTCTGGGCTTGCATCAACCCGTACGCATTCATTGCCATTGGGTTTCGACCGTAATAAATATTTTGAGAACCAAGTCTATCGACAAGCGGTTTCAGTGCCTCTGTAAACAGTTCGCCAACAAGATTCATCTCATCTGATGGGTCAAGAACCATTTGTTCGATGGTCCTTTGGTGGACATACTGCCTGATGTCAATTGACTCTTCTGTTCTTATTTCGCAGTGTGAAATACCCAGGTTGTCAATGACTTCCTGGACCGTCTCAATTTTTGAGCCCGGCGTTGCAGTCAGGGCCAAAACTCGGAAACTTCTGTGGAATCGTCTCATGAGCTTTGTGGCTTTTGCATATGCGTATTCACCAACAGCACGATGTGCCTCGTCAATGACGAGAAGGGCGATGCTTTTGGGGTCCGCATATCCATGAGACAGATCGTTAAGTAGTGTTTGGGGCGTCATAAAAAAGACGCGCCTCTTTGCCCACTCATCAGCTCTTAGGGCTGGCTGAATATCCCCCGTCAACAAAGTCGTATCTGATCGCGGGATGCCAACAATGTTGTAACAGGCGTCTATTTGTTGGGCAGCCAAGGGCTTCGTAGGCGCCACAAAAACAATCTTTGCTGATGTTGTCCACCGATAAAAGTTGAGCATGACGGTTGCGGCAATGAATGTTTTGCCCAGTCCGGTAGGCAGAGCAACGAGAGTATTGTTGAACAGGCTGTTCTTAACAATGCTGAACTGATAATCTCGAATCGCGCCAAGGTTCATTGGGTAGACCCACGTTTCCATCGCCTTCTTGTCTATGTCGTGATGAGTCGGCTCCTCGTGAGGCAAGTCTGCTCGAAAAATCCTCTGAGCTGGAGCCGGGCTATGGAATGGCGCATCTTCACGAACCTCCCTTCCCCAGAGCGTCGTCTGTCGGAGACCTGCCGACGCAGTCCTCTTCAGGCCACCTCTAGCTCTGGGTCCATTTGACGCGTTTCGAGATGCCGGGCTTGCTGTCACAGACGCTGATTGTTCTGGCTCGGGTGAAGAGAAAGCATCCGAGGGTAAGTCTTCGAGCTCTTGTACCGCAGCTGCTAAGGGGTTCGGTTTCGTCCGAGTATCATTTGCAAACCGAACCCCATTTGACGACGGCTGTGAGAGAGGCCTGGTCATATTGGATGAAGAAACCTGATCCAATAGCTCGAGGAAATCCTCGTCGACAAAATCCTCCCCAAACTCATCACCATCCATGTTGGACGGGGACAATCAATCAGGCCACTGTTGAAGGTTTCGACACCTTTTATCACGCCAGGTAGACCAGTATGGCGTGCATTTTACCTGAACTCACCACTCCGAATCGCCGCGCGTATAGCTCGATGGCAGCCAGCTTTGTACGCGAAATTGGAACCATATCACGTGATGTTGTTAGTCTTGCGATCTAGGGACCTTGAGACCTAGGTGCCTATCACGTCTATCTAATTCACTGTTTTCTCAACAAAAAAAAAAAAAAAAAAAGGAAAAGGGAAGCGGGTTCTGTTCTCCCATGCAATGAACTGGCGTCAGGAGCAAAATCGCCTCTTTGTTTTGAGCATGAGAACGACAATTACTCGGCATTGAGTAGGAACTTACCACGGCTTATGCTTAATGCGGATTGGGGCTAGTGCCTGGGGTGGGGTGCCTGTACTCTTTGTCACGCAGAAAAGTGGGTCGCAAATGGACGTCACAACCAACCCTCCTCGCAGACCCGTGGGCAAGCTAAGTTCGTTCCTCCTTCACAACATCATCCATCCTCTGTACACATTGTGTGAAAAATCTGTCGCAGACGTCAACGTAAAATACTACTCGCACCTAGCGACGCGCTCTGCTAGCCGAGACTCCTCTCACCGCTCCGGTGCCTTCCAGGGCGTCGTCCGTCTTTGAAGTCCTGCATCCTTTGTATTACTGTCGCCCATCGATACCTGGCCCTTTCATCACTTCTTGTTCGATACTTCAAACAGAAGGGCCTTCACGGTCCTTAAAAACCTTTCTCTGCATACATATAAATAACCGCTTTAAACCCGCACCCTGGCTGTCGAATCGCGCGTACACCTTCCTGGGGTGATCAACGCGACACCACCAAAACTTCTTGACGGGAACTGCTTCTGAAAGTGGCAACAAGTCGCCCAGGCCGGACTCTACCGCTCATTCCTCCCTTTAACCTCGACGACCTTTCAACATGGCTCCCCGAGGTCCTCGAGCAGATGCCGCCCAGCGTGCAAATCGAGGTGCTACGACCAAAGCAAAGACTACTACAAGAGGAGGGATACAAAAGAGGAGGGCTGGTACAGCGAGGCCCGACGTGGATGGCGATCTGGACATGGACGCTGTCGGTAAACAAGCTGCAAAAGCTGCGGGGCACGAAACCAAAGGGCCAAAAATAAGGACAGCGAAAGCCGCTCCGGGGAAAACCCCCCGAGGCGCCTCAGCAGCGGCCCAAACAATTTTCAAGCATTTACAAGGAAGCAACGTCTCTAGTCTCTCTAGAATTTCTGCAGCCAGCTCGGGGCGGGCCACCCGAGCCAGAGGCAAAGGAGCCAACTTGCACTTCCTCCGCGTCCATGGATTTAAACAAAGTAAAGCAGCGAGTAACCAAGACGGCGGTCTTCATGATCTAGTGGCCTTTCTGGAGAGAAAGGCATCCTCATTCACCAACGGGACCGGCAATCAAACACGACAAGTTATGATCAAGAAGGTATGTCGGCCATCAACGCAAAATACAGGGGCGCCATGGTCCAGGAAACGTCTCAATGCTTGCACACTGACGGCTTTGACACGATTATCTTTGTTGAGTTACGTGCTCAGCTGAAGAAATGTCTTATCCGACCCTGGTTATGAAATATACATTTTTTATAGTTACTCGCTAACAACAAACAGTCTCACGTGGTTGGAGATTATGTCTTTATTGGTGCTGCAAAAGAAGACACAGACGAGATTCTGAAACTCAACAATTTTACCTTTGCTGGCGCGCAACTGGAAATTGTCCAAACAACGGAAGATTCGGCAAGCGAGATGAAAGCGCCAAGATCGAAAGAAGGCCAAGAAGTGACGGCCAAATTTCAGGCCATTTTGAGCCGTCGATATATCGGCGTCAACAAACTTTTAAACCTCGATGCACTTGCCTCGGATGCTGAACTCGTCTCGATGGGCATGTTTGACCGCCCAGATCTCGCGCTGAAGTCATTCAAGGGTCTTATGGTCGTTTGTGATGAGCTGTTCAAGACTGACGCGGAAAAAAAAGAGGCTATCGAGAGCATCAGTCTTGCCAACAACAATATTGAAAACGTAGCTCAGGTTGAATCGGTAGCGACAACGTTTCCGCAGCTGAAGAACCTGGATATGAGCAGGAATCGGATTGCCAACATGCAGGGCCTGGAAAGGTGGAGGGGTAAATTCAAGTCACTCGAAACACTCTACATGACGGGCAATCCCATCGATACCGCCGATGCCAGCTACAAAACAACGCTGTTGCAGTGGTTCCCTAGGCTGCAAGATATCAACGGCATGCAAGTCCGGACTGCTGAGCAACTTGCTGAACAAGAGGCGGCATCAAGGCCGAAACCCATCCCGCAGAGTGGACCGGACTTTCGCGATGTGAACGGCATTGGCGAGAACTTTCTCTTGGAATTCTTTGCGGCGTACGACAAGGACCGACAAGGATTGGCGTCCAGATTGTACGATGATGATAGTCAATTCTCGTTGGCGATTGACACACAATCTGTTAGGGACACGGACGCCCCCGCCCCGATGGGATGGAGTTCATACATTAAGATGTCTCGTAATCTGGTTAAGATAACGCATCAAAATGCCAGAGTTCAGCGGCTTTTCAAAGGCGCAAACATCATCTACGAGCTGTGGAAGGGTCTCCCGCCAACGAAACATCCCAACATCAAGGACGAACTTAGCAGATACATCATGGACTGCCACCCATTGCCTGGTCTTGGTGATCCTACGGGACAAAACCCAATGGGCGTGGATGGTTTGATCATTACGGTACACGGCGAGTTTGAAGAATATGACGAGAAGACGGGGGCTGTTGGGAAGCGAAGCTTTTCGCGCACCTTTGTGCTAGGACCTGGTCGAGCTGGCAAGGGGTCAATCCGAGTGGTCAGTGATATGCTCATGCTCAGAGCGTTCAATGCGCTGCCAAACGTCTTTCTTGCGGCGAATCAAGGTCCTGTGGCTGGCAATAACAATAACGACACCGACGTGGAGCATCAGGCCATGGTTGCCGAACTATGCAAACAAACCGGCATGACGCCGCAGTATTCGGAAATGTGTCTGACTCAGGTGGGGTGGAATTTCGACAATGCGCTGGTGATATTCAACGAGAAAAAGGTACGCAGTATTGTGGTATTCGGACGCGACTTTACAAGCAGAACCTAACGTCTTTGCAGGCCGGGCTACCACCAGAAGCATTTGCCGTGACACCTCAGTAATGCTCTGTCGGACAGGTACCATTATAAACATCATGGTCGCAATCAGGTCTCGCGACCGTTTCGTATGTATCGAAGGGGGGGGGCAGGGGGGAGATGAGTCATCGAGAAGGCGGAAGCGTGGGAAGCATAACTTGGCGTTATAAAGTTGTCGAAGAAGGGGGGGATTCTATCTGTTTGATATCGAGTTTTCTTCGAGGGGTTTTCAGAAGGAGCTAGCGATGGAAGCGGAAACTGCCTTGTGTCAGAATCGAACAGGGCAAGACTAGATTCTGGTGGCTCGTGTGAAATACTCAATGGGCATGCATCTACAGCCGACGGAGTCATTTGCACATTGGTGCCATGCGGTGGAATTACACGCAATTACAGGTTGAATATTGCAGGTCAGTTGGGAGGCACAGATGTAGGGTAGTAAAGGTACGGTAGCACCAGAGTGGTAATGCGTCCGTCCATGGCCAGCTGCAACACGAGATGGCGAGTGTGAAAATGCCCGAGCACATTGTTGTCTCTTGTCAAGGCCGGTGTGTGACGTCTGTGCGAACTGTTTCCAGCTTCCGGGTACAAATAAATGCTGATCGAGATTCGACGCACCCGAAGAACAGATTTGACATGCGATGAGCACTGCAGTGCCAGTAATGGTTACATACGTGCGTGAGGCTTGCGTTGCTGGATGGTCTGGGGGCTTCACAAAGCGCGCAGCCAATCAGGGCTACGGGCGCACCGTAGATGATTGGGGGAGAACCGCGCGGGTATAACTCTTACTAACTTGGCCGTGTGCACTTTCGTACGTTGGGCGATACGACCACCCGGCAACTTACATTAACTATCAATCAATCTACTCGGGTTTCCTTTTTTTGCTCTTCCCCCTACCTAGCCCATGCCAGTCCCGGGACAGGTTTCCACGTCGAAGACATCACCGACACTAGGACGATTACGGGCATGACGGTGGGCGGATGGATTGTCAGGGCCGGCGAGAAGCCTCCCTTCCCTACTCTTACTCCGCAGATTGACAGGTGCGGCGCCGACGGACATTTTTACCTGAATCCGAGTCGTGCCCTTCCCCCCCTCCCTCCATAACCAGCTCGGTGGGCGCCGCTCGCGTGTGCGCCAAGCGGCAGGGTGCGAGGGTACGTACCTGCATAACAGCCAGTCGACTTTATCCGCTGCCAACCCCAATGGCTATGAACCCCCCCTGCACCTACCTGCCTATTACGTAAGTATGTATGCGCCTGCCTTTGTACTCGGTACTCTTAAGTAGGTACTTGGCAGGTGACAAATTCAATGCCGATAAGAGGAAGCACACGTGCGAGGAATGGGAAAAAAAGAGACGAGAGACAGAGAGAGAAAGACGGAAAGAGAGAGAGAGAGAGAGAAAGAGCAACATGGTGTTAAAATCCAGTCCGCCGCGGCGCTAGCATATTCAGACGACCCTTTGCAAGGAACCCGTTCCTATGCAGACCAGACGACGACACGGCGACTCCAACGACACGAAACAAACCAAACGACCATCTCGGCGGACGGGCAAGGGACTGGCTGGCAACGAGGCGCCACGGAGGACTTCGGGGACGAACTATTGAATACGCCGGCCACCTCTTAAAAATGCGACAGCAAGCTATCGATGGGTCAAGTCGGTGTTATAACTCCGCACTACGTATTTTGAGCCAGGTTCACGGCCTCCTGGGCCCTGGCAATGGACAAGAAAAGTTACATGTGCTCCGTACGGAGCACTTGAGTACGTATACTCCGTAGCCGCTGGCATCACCAACAGTGGCGGCGCCGGCAGCGTGGCTTTTCCCAGGTGGTTGCGACTGTCTGTACTCCGTACGACGACCGAGAACGACCGACAGATGTCTCTCGAGGCCCTACGGAGTGCCTGTCGTGATCCTCCTAGTGGCTGGTTGACCCAGCCGTCCAAGTGAAGCTCCTGCTCATCTCCAACTCATAGCATGCCGGGCGCATGTACTCCGTACTCACCGTTGCGAAGCCGCGAAACGGGCTAGACCCCGTCCCGCGTTGACCAATTAGGAACGGCACGCGTGGCGCGATGGATACTGCGACTTGTCAGTTGACAACACAGTAGGGAGTTTAATTGCAGTCAAGCCAAGCGTTGTCCGTTCCATGCCAAACATTGACAGGCAGCCCAGCCCGGACTGGAACCATGTGGGCGAGTAACGTCGAACATTATGCCGTCGTGCCCGCCCGCCCATCCACCGCCGGCGCCGGCGCCACCACCACTGCAGTCGCATGCGATGCGTGGCATCCAGCCGATGTGATCATTCTTGAGTCTCGGACCACACTCGTATGTATTGAGGCTTCCGAGCGCCTGAGCAGTCGATTGAGGCTACCGGGAGAATGGGTCGTATTGGAAGCAAGCGAACAGCAATGTTCCTAATGTAGCGGGCACCCGACTACGCCGTACTCGGTTAGACTAAGAAGTAGACAACTTCCAGTGCGAGCCGTGTACTCGAGTACCGAGTAGTGTCCCTAAGCCTTAGTCAAGTACCCGGCCTGTACTCGACCTACTAAGTACCAAGAACCCAGGCACCGTACCGAGCCCACCTGGCCATGCAGCAACGGACCGACGTGATGAACATGGCACTTGACCCCTCCGGGCGGCCCATCGTCAACTTAGCGTGTTTCAGCGTGGAGTGCATACAAGGGGGCTCGATGCACCGCTGTGAAATGCGAAATGCCCATTTCTGTTCTGTGCTGTGCTGTGCTGGACGAAGCTTGGACGGCCCAATCACCAACCACCAACCACCAACCACCTCGGCACCTGCCAAGTATGTGTGTACGGCCGCGTGTCTGTGATTGATTCCAGAGAAAGCTGCTGAGAATGTTTGCTTTTGCCTTTTTGACAGACATTTTTTTTTTTCCGCAGAAACCTCTCTCCACATCTGCCGCCCTTTTACTGCCATGGCTCTATGACTCCACACCGCGTCATTACAATTAATCAAAATCCCTTGCCGTCGTTGCAGACAGTGCTTAGTACTTGGACGGCAACTACCTCTACAAATACCTAGGTAAGCACTTAAGTTAGTAAGTAAGTAAGTACTTTAGTACTTGGGTATCATCACTTCGTCGACGAGGTACGGAGTAGGGGGCCCGACACTACATGTATGTGTAGCATGATTGCTTCTTGTTTGTGTCTAGGAAGCATCCTTTTTTTTTTCATTCTTTTGAAATCGTGGCCAGCATGACGTAGCACTAGTAGTATCGCACGGACCTGTGCTTGGCACCATTTCTCCTTGCTTTTTCTTTTTTCCACTTCATCCCATCTCGTGACGAGAAAAACATCGACGCATCATTCATAAATAATACGTATTCGTGCCGCCTACTCCGCAGATCGTCACATTGGCCACCACCAAGTGCGCCCATTGCCAGCGCCGTGTCGATGCCTGAGCGTAAGTGCCCGTTCTTATTGCCCCGTACTCCACGATGTCTTGACGGGCACGAAATAGTCAACCATGCCGTGGAAGCCTGACGAGTGTGGTAGTACGGCCTCGGATAAGGCCCAATTTCTGCCGCATCAAATACCATTTGACGCTGTCTTTAGACTTTATAAAATTGAGAGTACAGAGTACGGAGTAGTATATAGACTTGGCCTTGACGGGTTGAAAATTGCAGACTACTGGGAGTCACCGTCTTGGCCGTGTGACTTTTGGTATGATTGGAAGTTGATCGTCATGGCCTGCGCAGCTGAGGCGTCCAGAAACCACTACAGTAGTCGAGCGTACTCCATCTATCAGAGCGAGACAGGTCGGGAGCACTTCACACGCGGCCGAACACTAGACCTAGCCCCCAACTGTTGTCCTTACTGCATACACATGCATCCGTACATGCCCAGGTATGTACGCACGTGTCCATCGCCATGGGCCTCGAAATCGGTCGGGTCTCGTGGGGCAAGCGACGAGTTCACTATACTTGAAAAGACGAGGTATACTGAAGAAACAACAGGAATTCGGGCCAAAAAAAAACCATTTTGAGGCTTGTCTGTTTCTCAGACATGTATGAGCGCTAGATGCTATCCAGCATTTTGTTTTGCTCGAACACATTCTGGTGGGGCCCTGCTATTTGTGCGGCAGAAAATCGCTATTCGTGCGGCACTAAACCTAATTTAGTGGCGCTAGACTCGATTTAGATAAGTAGCCGGGCGGCTATACCCCCCTATATATTTTTACATACACCTACATAGAAAAGGCTACAATCTAAAAATTCAAGCTAGATTTAATTAAATCTTAATAATACAAGCCTAGGCAAGCGCTAGTAGCGCTTAAATTGCTTAAAAACGCAATTTCTAGTGTTTTTAATAAATATATATATATTTATAGGCTGTAATTATTCTGCTGCTTAAGCTGTTAATTATTCTGCTGCCTCTAAGAGCGCTGCCTAGGCTTCTAAGGGGTTATCTATTAAATCTATAGCAACGCTAATACTGCTGCTTGCTCTATAGCTTGTCTACTTGTTAATTATGTTTATATATTATTTATAGCGTTTATTAACTGCTGCCTTAACTATATTATAAGTCTTCTTTATTATTGCGTTCTAAATTATTATTCTAGCTCTACCTATATTGCTATATGCTAAATGCTTAGATTAACTTAGCCTTAATAACTTTAAGAGGTTAATTAAGACCTTTAAATTAGCTATTAACTGCTATTATTATAAGAATCTTAGTGTTATTATATATTTAAGAGTGTATTTAAGAGCAGTAGGCAGCGCCTTCTTTAGTTAATTCTATAAGAGTGCTAAATTTAAAGATATTAAGAATTAAAAGTCTATAAGTTATAATTAGGTATATTCTCTATAATAACTTAACTATATATAAATCTAAGTCTTACTAACAGCTTTTAAAGCTACTAATAATATAGAATATTAGTCTTCTTTAAAGGCTATTGCCTTTAAAGCCTTTCTAAGATAAAGTATATATAAAGTAGTATATATTAGTATGTAAAAGAGCACTTTTCCTTATAAAGTTTAAGATGTTGCCTTTAATAATAAGC